TCATTGAGAAATGACAGTGTTATAGTCAAAATACTAAACACTGTGAAATACTGGGTGTCCCAAAATGTTTGCAACATAGTTTGTTTTGCGAATATCTCTGCACAGGCAAATGACAAAACCTTGATTTTTTTTCAAAAGATGCGTCGTGAAAAGCTCTACAAAACTGTAAGAACAAATCCTTATTGACTTGTTCGCATAGTTTCTTCCATACTCGAAATGAAAAAATAATACATGATAGTGCTACTTCCCACCGTATTTAACATAATAAAAATGTTTGGAAGACTGTTATATTTTGCATGTATCTCGGCTTAAGAAAATGGTAGCACCCTGATTGTTTTTCAAAAGATGCGCCGTCGAAAGCTCTATAAAATCTGTATAAACAATTCCTATTGTAAAACAAAAACGTCTTCCAAACATTTTTATTATCATTTTGTCTTTTCTTATGTCATTTTTTCTCAGGACTGAACTTTGTTTTTTTTATTGTATTTTATATTCAAGAGTTTTTCGTCATGCATGCCAAAATGATTGATGTTTTTTGTGCATCATGATAATGAAGAAAAAGCGTGTAAGAAGAAAAGTATTTTTCTTTTAAATCAAATGTGTTTCTTCTTTTCTTTCTACGTGAGCAAAAAAACAAAAAACATCAACCTTATTTTCTTCAATTTGTCTCAATTTTTTCATTTTTTTAATCGAAATTTTTTCTAACTCCCCAAAAAGCTCAATCAGAACAGTGTTAGCTGAGAAAAACTTCTCAACTTATCTCAATAATGTTTTGTTAGAGACCAGATTTAAGGTGTCACTGCCGTTCAAAGGCTAGTTTTTTTTGCAAAATCTAAGTAAAAAAATTTAAGATTTGCAGGTTACCAATTGAGTGGCAGGTAGATGCCTGTTTTTTCTCGAGATAGAAACATCGCATATTCATCTTTGAGAAAACTTACAGATATAAACGACTGTAGCATCACATTTCTTCTTGAGTATTAATAAAAACGTGAGTAAGGAACACGCAGATGGGTGTTTTTTGAAGCCTCTCGTTTTAACTGGCAGTACATCACCTAACATACCGGTCGGTTTTTGCCAGTCTGAAAATTTTTTTCAACCGGCCGGACCGGACCGGTTACAACTCTGGTACACTCGAAATTGGAATATTTAATATTACAGCATGGATATTATGATCTTAGTCAGATTAATATTTATAACTATCGTGTCTCTGAAAATCATATCAAGTTAATAGATAATTGCATTATCAAGTCTTGTTCAATCTGCAAGTTGGTTTTTCGTCGTCGGAACAGGAACAAAGGTGGTCTTCATGTAATTGATAAATCACGTGCATTTGCTATTTGAACAAAAGCTAATAAGTCTTTTTTCGGTAAATTAATGTGGAGCTCATGTAAAAAAGATTTAGATGACAAAGAAAACAACTACATAACGAATGAAATCAAATGACAATGTGACCAATTATTTGAATGGCTGTATGATTTAAACTTCGTTGGTACATCTATAACAATTTCATTTCAATCATGTGCATCAGGTTCTACTCAGACGATTGATAGTGAAACAGTTTGTGATGATCAAGAAACTTTAAAGAGCTTTTTGCGAAGCATAAATTACAAAAATAAAATTCCCACCACATTTTCTTACATCGGTCGCTCTTCAAAAAGTAAACAAAGTTTTTGCCGATCAATAGAACGAATTTTACAACTCATTATGCAAGTTTTGGCTCCAAATGGTTCACAACAGGTTTGATCTGATATCGTCGAAAGTTCAAGTATCGAATCGAATACTAGTAATATTTATATGAGTAAAGATTTTGAAATAGTTATGAACGACCTCGCTGAATCTTACGAAAATTGTGATCATTGATCCACAAATACTTTCAATATTCGCAAAAGATGTTCCATTGACAGTAATACAAAAGTTTATTCCTGATTTGATTCTTTGGCGACTCAAGCAAGCAAGACTTCATGCTGTTCTAAAGGGAAAAGGAAGTGTCATCGACGTGTCACGTAAACCAACAATCAGGTATACTGATGAACAAATAGCTCATTTTGTACAGTTCATTACTTCACCGCACATCTTAACAGATTTACCATTTAAACAAAAACCTATTAAACTTTCTACCGCAGAAGAAATCGAAACACCAAATGTCACTCAAAATTTAATTCCATCAAGAATTATAGACCAATATATATTATATTGTACTGAAATGCCCCCGGAATATGCGCCATTCGGCACAAGTTCTTTATATTCGATTCTCGATGTATACATTGCTTCAACTAGAAAATCTCTCCAAAGAATGATAGAATAACGAGTTTTCATTTCGTTTCTTTTCTTGTTCAATATCTCGAAGTTGAAAACCGTTTATCAACCATTATCTCAATGCCTGGAGAATTCAATTTTGTTAGATCAGAACATAGTGCTAATTTTTTGTCAGAAATTCCACCGGAGAACAGTTCCGAGAAAAGACGACTGAAAAATCCGTCAACTGACGTTTGAGCGCCCGACATTTGAGCAACCCCGACATTTGAGCGCCCGACATTTGAGCGTCCGACACTTGAGCAACCCCGACATTTGAGCGTCCGACATTTGAGCGACCGACGTTTGAGCGACTCCGACATTAGACACTTTTCAATATGACTTTTTGCCGATCAGGAAAGTCGAATGATTATTCACTTCGATAACGATGATCAGAACAATTTTTTTGTCGTCCGATTATGAACTGAATTATTTGGAGATCTGAGGGTGAGGCTGTGTAGGGTAAGGGTGGGTGAGGGTGAGAGTGAGCACTTGGTGCTGAACGGTCGTTATTACTCAAATGTCGGTCGCTCAAGTGTCGGCGCTCAAACGTCGGTTAATCGAAAAATCAGTTGTCGGAGCAAAACTTATTAATCCCATTCATTACATTGTCTCCATAGTAATCGTTGTATGTAATCGATTCAGCCGTTAAAGTCCTCGGTCTTGGAGTATACACAGGAAAACTACCAATGATCAACACACATTTTGGAAAAGAATTGAATGAAGAATGTAAATGTTGTTGTAGATATTCAGCATTAACTAACAGTGACCTCTTTGAAAATTGTAAGTACAAAAAGTTAACCTATCGATCAAATAATCTGTACAGAAAACCAGTACGACGAAACAAGGAGAACAGAAAAAAGAAAAGAAATACGAAAGGGAACAGCAAAATAGAACAAAGTTTCTCTCACACAGAAAAAGAATCGTTATGCTTTGATAGACGTGAAAGAAACTTTCCAACTATTTAGAAGCGAAAATCGAGCGGATTTTCTATAAAGTAAAAAATCAATATTCTCTAAATAGTCAGAAAATCGCTGAGGATTTTATAAAAGTTGGAAAATCCTTTCGCCACACACAGACACATCCCACTTTCAGATGCTTCAAGGTCTCTCAGATAGAAAGTATGCTGTCGGATGATAATTGGACTGGTTCTGTATTTTCTAAATAACTCAAATGAATGGATTTTACCCAGAGGAAGAGTTTAAGAGGTTTAAGATCTGAAACCGAAATTTCTATCAAATTTCCGAAACCCATATGTAACTGATGACGCTGATTCCAAAAAGGAACGTCGGAGTTACTCACAATACCATTCAATACCGTTCAACGATCGTTGAACAGTGCTATGATTTTTGCAAAGTATCCTATTGCAACATTTTTTTCATCAGAACCGGCGTAGCGACTCTTTTGGAAAATTTTCCTATGTTGTTGATTTTTGGTTTGAAAAATTAAAACTTATGGAACATGGGGAGTTTTGTATTCTCTACAAAATGATCGAACAGAAAAATTTTCTGAATTTAGTCCCTGATTATCTGAAGATCTAGTTTTCAGAAAATTGGTTAACAAAAGCCTAAGGACAACTCCGATGTTCATATTTGGAATCAGCGTTATGAAGTACAAATAGTCCACTTGATTTTATCCAAAAACGATTTGCAACTTGGAATCCTTCCCTCGTTAGTTCATCGTTTCAAAAATAACTAAACATTAATAGCTTCGAAATATCATCTCATACATCAACGGGTTTTATTTTTAAGCCTAATGTGTAACTCTGACATACTAAATTCCAAAGTTAGCTTACGCTTATAAAACTAGCATAAATATGAGTAATTAAATTGTGCATAATGTACAAATATTTACAACATTCATTAAAAACCAAAATTACAATCGAAACAAAACACAATCTCTTTCTCTCTTCACCTAAACGTACAAATTCTCATTCGAAGTTTTTCCGATACATTTGGAATTTTTTTTCTAGTTTGAGTCAACAAGTATTGGTTCTAAACAATACCAGTGAGAATTACGATAACTAAAAAATGTTAGAAAAGTGCACAAACCAGGACTACCTACGAGACCCATACTTTCCATGTGATTCGCCAATATCAGCACAACAAGTCATTATTCGATTTCCACAAAATCACATTGTTCATTTACACTGTCGAGCTAAATATGAGAATAAAATGAAGCAAAATCACTATATAACAAAACGAAATTAAATTAAATATAAACGTTTTTTAATCAATAAAACTTAATTGTGATTTTGTCAGAGGATAATACTCTTTATTTTGTGACTTATTTTTATACTAGTCCATTTTCATTTAATTGAAATCAAGCTCAATTGTTTTTAACCGTATTAACATATTTTTAAAACTATTCTATTGCTTTAATTGTTCATATCATCCCTTATCTTTCACTGATACAAAATAAAACAAATGAAACCGTGAATGATTATATATACGTCACTATTTTCTTTTAAAATTTTTAAAATTCTTTTGCATATTGTGTGTATTTGTGTAACTATATCTTTATTCTAAAATCTGTTTTTCTTTTTTTTTTCTTTCTGTGATACATAAACAGTCTTTCAGTTTATAGTTAATATTTTTTTCTGTTTTTTTCTCATGTTTTTATGACGAGTAGATGATTTTTCTTTTTTGTCTCTGATAGACTATCTGTTAAAATATACTCGATTTGTTCAACGTTACTGTATATTTTAGATGATGAATATTAAAACATCTTATAAAGAAGCCGTTCAACTTTGCTATGTTAAATGTTTGAATGATCCTGAAAATGATCCATATAAATCAAAATATGAAGTAAAGAAAATTTTTGATGATATTAAAGACCAACTATTACTTAGTGGTGAACAAACAGTGTCCGATGATGATAATCCTCTAACCAATGAATTTTATGATCTAGATATTATCTATGATAAAACAACAAATATGCCTAGAACATTTGTGATGAAAGACAACGTGACAAAATCTGAAACCAATATTTCAGCATTAAGTAGGTTTGTATACAGTTTGTCGTTGTTTTTTCATATTTTAAATAGAAATTATCCTTTTTTAGTTAACTTGTTCTTTGGTTTTTTTCTTCTTGCGCTTATATTTTATTATTATGTTTATTCTAGCATTAGTTAAATACAATTATTTAATTCGTCTATTACTTGACTATCATATTGCAACGATTTACAATGATACAGAGGAAAAAACTGAAGGAGAAAAATATTTAAAATATTTATTAGGAAATATTGAAAATGTTCAGCTTCATCTATATTTTTATTCATTAAATTTACATGTTTTAAATCAATTAATATTAATTCAAGCATCATACGATAAATATGACCAAGCAATTTTATATGCTAGCCAAGCAGAACAACTTTATAAACAGTGGATGATCCATAATGAAACAAAATTTCCTTTACAATTAAAAGAATTAATAGAAACATCAATAAATGATTCTATCTCTGAGAACAAACGTTGTCGTGAATTTAAATTGGCTTATACACATACACTATACTATTTAGCTCAAGTTTATGCAAAATTAAATGAAAAAGAACAGTCAGCGAAGTATTGTCAATGAACACTTGAAAGACAATTACTCTATCGTGATGATGATAATTTCAATGCCATTGATTGGGCAACAAATTCCGCAACGTTATCACAATATTACATGGGTGCAGGCGATTATCCTACAGCTCGTCATTGTCTTGTATGTGGTAATCTCGTACTAGAAGAAATAAAAAATGATGAAAAAGTGTTAGAAAGATTAGCCAGTTTTTAACGTTGTTGGGGCAAATATGCCATTAATCTTTTAGGTAACGCGATAATTTGGCTGAATGCGTTGACTGAAAAGATGTGTAAATGAAAGATCGAAGGATCAAACCTCTCACAATTAATAGCACTATGATGATATTAATAACTTTCCCTCAACAGACAGACACATGGTGATTAAAGTTTATCTGAGTGCTACAACTAGAATTAGAATAGATCATCTTAGCCATTAAAAAATCCTATTTATTTATACTATTTTTTCATCAACTAAAATTAATGATAAATTTATCTTACTTTCTATTTCAGCTGATTCTAGTCAACGTTTATTACGCGCGGCTGATAATGATTTAAATCCAAATGAGATCATATCTAAAAAATTAGTTGAATCAAAATTTCATTTTAAAATGAAAAAAGATAATATTGAAAAATATGAACAAAAAATACATTACAGCCATCTACGTTCTTGATTATGAACAAGCTCGTCATGTATTTTTATTTGGATTAAATCAATTAAATAAATCGAAAGAATATTATGTTCTCGATGGTTTTGTTACTGATTATGTTGAAATATGTCAAGATATTAGTCAATTATATAATAAATTAGTATTTTTTGAGTCAGATATTAAACGACAATGTAAAATGTAAACGTCGTATTGATCTTATATCTCCATTGTCTAATGAACTAAATGAACAATATTATTTACATTGTGTAAGACAATTATTATTTGAATTAGGTGAATATTATTCAACGATATTTGATTTAAAATTAACATTGTATAATTAAACACCATCAATACATTTAACAAAAAAAATTAATCAATTAGCTCATAATGGTATTCAAACATTTGAACGTTTTCTATTAACAATGTACCATAAAAAGACAAAACAATTATCGAAAAAATATTCAGATGATTATCTACGTTCAGCAATTTTAGCATATTTTTATATTGGACGATTTTATTCAAAAATACAAAGTACGAATAATTTACAAAAACGTTTAAATAATTTAGAAATAAATTTAACAAAATATAAATATATTGTTGACTATTGTGAACGTTATCCAGATGTAAAACAGGTTGTAGAGAATGAGCATAATGTATACAAAGAAATGTGTATATTTTTACCATTTAAAATGGATAAATTAAGAGAGTTATTATCATAGAAGTACAATTCTCTTGATAAAATTATAGTATATATAGAAAATTAAATATTTTATTTGTCTAACATCTCATTAATATCGTTTAACCCTTTACACCCGCCGGTCCCTTCCAAGGGACGTTGATATAATAGATTTATAAAAAGAACGAATCATCAGCCAAAAAGCTAGATTATTACTAATGTAAGACAATAGAGTAGGCTAATGTTTGATTGAAAGAAGAAAGAAAAATTTCCATCTTAATCAGATATTTTGAATTTTAAAATTGAATGAAGTTTTTAAATATTTTCTATACTTGTAGCCACTAAACCATTTTCTAATTTTGTAGTTGATAGTTTTGGTTGTATGGATGTACTTTATAATGAAATCAAAGAAGAAATTTTTGTAGCATCCTTCTTTGCGTAAAGGCGCTATGAATTCACTGTCCCTTGGAAGGGACATTCGGGTGTAACGACATGAAAAGTGAATTTTTTTATCTTGACATCTTGTTAGCGTGGATCATTCTGTGATCATTCGCTACACATTTGAAGATGAGTGATGAAGAAAAAAGATGTAACTAGTACTATTGTGCCGTCGGCGCCAAATGTGAATGCGTTTTTCTCTGATCGATATAAAAAATCCATCTAAGTGTGTTTAAAATACTGAATAAAATTGAGACGCGTCTAAAGTACCTTCAGCTTTTTAGAAAGCAAGATGCGTCCGAACATACTTTTCTCTCATTGAGATAAAAAAGCTCGTTTAGAAGCGCCCTTAGGACCATCTTGATTTGAAAAACGCGTTCGTACACGATGTTTTTGGAAAAATTAAAGAAAAATACGTCTGAACGTTTGTTTCTATCGAAAATTTTTCGAGTGAGTAAAGAATTGAGACTCATACTAGTATACTAGGGCAAAAAAGGAAGTTCGGAATAACAATGAAAAAAATACAAAATTCATGCCGTTACACCCGTATGTCCCTTCCAAGGGACATCATGTATTCACGCAGCAAAGCAACATCACTTAAGTCCAGATATAACAAGGATGTACCGAAGAACTGTAAGCTTCAATGCAGTAGTTATTTCAGCTGCAACTATAATAAAAGTGTCTTCGGGTGTAAAGGGTTGATATAAAATTAGACAATTGTCAAGCCGGTTGCTAATGATATTTTTTTTGTCTTTTAGTATATTTGAATAAATTGAGATCCAGTATGACTGTGATAGATACTATTATTTTCTATTCTCTTGTATATCTTATAGTTCAAACCTTTTTGCTCTTACATCAATATAATAGTGTTCAAGTCCATTAATGAAAATTACTTTTTAATTTTAGATATTCATCATTTGCCAAATCTTCTTTCATCTGTATATAGAACATTATCAACTCAAATGTCTAACAGTTATTCTTTTTTTTAAAATTCATCTATTCCAGTATTAGTCTTATTCAATTTTACATTTGAATAAATAAACACTTTGTCAATTTAAACAGAATAACAAATAAAAAATGGAATTTGAAGAATTTGTTGAATCATTTGAGTCATTATCGTTGTATATTTTTATCATATAAGCATGATGAATCTGGATGATGATGTTTGATGTACAATTGTTAGGTTTTAAAGAGCCAGGTTGCTTTTATTCTAAACGAACATACGCAAATGTCATGTTTACTTTTATTGGAAATAAACAATGAATGAGATAATCAACGTTTTCGATTGCTCTCATTTTGGATAGAGTCACTAAAAAGGATTTTGATCCACCGAGAAATTTGTTAAGAAATTTAAGCCGAGACACTGCCTTTTAGATGGTAGTGATAAGCTCATTATCGATCCTCAGTTAAGTTAAAACATGCAGCTACTTAGAAAAAAACATTTTAGTTACTCGGCAGACCGACGAATATGTCACGATCACCTGTGGACCAACTTAGAATGGTTAATTTCAACGATCTAGTTCCGATTAGACCGGTTTGTAATAAATTTTAACAGTTTCGAGAATGAAATGTAACACAAAAAGTTAATGTTTTTTAAAAAGATTTGGTTTAAGTGCATGGATTGCCTCAGTTCATCGAAAAACTTAGCATCTCTTATTTGTGATTTTATACATGTTGTACCGGACCACATGATCTACTCAATTATGGTACATGTGTAAAAGCGTGAGACAACTAGAGTTTTGTTACCTTGACTTTTTCGTTACCATCGATGTAAATTTTTTTTACTATTACCATCGGGAAGAACGTTTTACCGTTACCAATGTTACCGGAATTCCCGCGGTAATACAATATATTCGCACAGAAAGAAAATAAGGAATAAAAACACGTGCATAAGGCAGAAAACAAAGAATATGTAGGATCATGGACTAGCCTGACCGTTATATAACGTTTGACTATATTAAGTACACTAAAGTGATATAAAATACCATTTATAATAAAGAGATGGTATGATTATGAACTGGAATCTGAAAACTGTCCGTTACCATTACCATTACCATTACCATGAGTTTAGATTTTTGTTACCATTTACCATCTATTACCAGGAATCAAAACTCCTTTTTTTACCATTCCCAGGTCAAACAATCATACTGTAAGATCTTACAAGATTCTTATATGATCATATAAGATCGTACTTCAAGATCATGTATGTTCTTGCAAGATCGTACGAAAATTATATACGATCTTGTACGATTTGGTATGAAAATCATTGTCACCACGTACCAGACGAATATCGTACTGTAAGATTCTTGTAAGATTTTATTACAAGATCTTGTAACATCATATACGATCGTAGAAGATCATACTGTAAGATTTCTGCAGTATTTTATACGATTCTCTGCTGCATCCTGCAGTCGTTGGCAAGCTCCTTGCGCTCTACTTTACTTGTTTTTTTGTCGAATGCGTACGTACATCATTCCGGCACCATCAACGTACTTTTATTCACTGATATTCCAAACATCACGTGCAAATCATAGTTAATCACACGCATTTACAAAAAAATAAAAAAGTTAGTTGTGAAACTATGTTTCGCCAGTAAAAGAAAGCAAGAAAAAGACCTGTTTATTTTTGGATAGTCACCGTGCATTTAATTAATATCCGGGCGTTAAAAAACAGTATAGCATGTTCAGGCTTGATTATATCATGTTTACTCCGACTTTTCTTCGAGAACATGATGTAATCAGTTATTGAGGTTTTTATCGATCCTATGTCTTTAGGACCCCACAATCCAATCTGCAAAACATAACATATTTTTTACGGAAGAGCTCGCTCATACATCAGAGTGAGTACACAGCCTGGTTCTCACAGTGGCGTAGCTAGGATTTTTCTAAGGGAGGGGTCCAACATTTTCTACCAAATCGAAAGTTTTTTATTTGTTCCAGTGCAAATTAACTTTTCAAGGGAGGGATCTGTGAACCCTAGACCCGTCCATTGGCTACGCCACTGGTTCGCAACTACATGCGACTAATAGTTGATCTCAAAATAAAGGTGAGAGAGACTGATGTTTTATAGTTTTTCTATGAGTATTACTGATCAGACAACATTTTTATTTTGAGATCTTTGTATAGTCTATATGTTTAATTGAGCCTGTACATCAGAGAAACACTAAAGCTTTTTGAGAAAGACCCTTTTGATACCCAGAACAGCTAAAAGGAAAATGTTCACCGTTGCAACAATAAACGTGGCAAGGATTTATGTCTCTTTACTCCCTTACTCACTGAACTACCGTGCACTTCTTCTGTGAATTAATTACTTTTTTTATGTACTTCTACCTTGAAAAGTCAAAAATTGCAGATACAAACTGCAAT